GATATTTCAGTTTTTCTTTTTAATAAATCTGCAAAAATGTCAACAATTCTGTGTTTTTCTGTCAATATGGGGTGCTGTGTGTACATTAATGAGGAAAAAAAAATAACTTAAATGATTTTAGCAAATGGCTGCAATATAACAAAGAGTGAAAAATTTAAGGGGGTCTGATTACTTTCCGTACCCACTGTATGTGTGTGTGTGTATATATATATATATATATATATATTCTTTTTTTTTTTAATACTAGCTGTGGAATGAGTAATTTCTCCTCTGTGATAATCAACAGTATTTATTGAACCTGGAACATTCCTTGTAAGATTTTGGACATTTAAGATTAAGAAAAAAAAACCTCAGAAGGTTGGTTAGTCAGTCTCTAGATGGCTATTCTTCCACTGAGCAGTTAGTAGTAGAGTTGGACCATACAAAGGCACTCATCACACAGATAACTCAAACACGGCCCCTCACATGGACATACACCGGAAGCTCCAGTCACAGCCTTACAGCGGAGAATCGAAAGCAGCAACAAGGGATCCATGGAGACATGCTACTGAAATGTCTTTTTGTCCTTTTTTGTTTTTACTTATTGGTGAGTGTCTTATTGTGTGTGAGATGTTATTTCATACTCCTCCAAAGGCCAGCACAAGCCAATTCACATTGAGGTCTGCGGTGCTTTGCTCGGGGTCTTTCCTGAACAGTGTTATTTTAGTTCCTGACCCTTTGAGCTACAGACCTTCCAAAAACACTGCACTCCTCTTTGAATTAAATATAATGTACATTGAGGGCAAAGAATCAAGAACCCTTTCCTGTAAAAACAAATGGATCTTGAGTTCACGTTCATAAAACATTGATGTTGGGACATTTGGACGATGCTTGTGCTGTCTTATGGCTGGGTCATGATCATCGCTTACCAAAGAGGATCTCCATCTCCATGGTTAGACGAGTGGTCACGATATTCCCATTCATTGTTAACAGATCCCTCACATTAGTCATAGTCATCCCTCAAGTGTCCACTCCAAACCAATGGCCCCGTCCTCTTTGGTAGTGATAACTGTCATTGTACTATACTCTCTCCAAAATCACGACAGATCTGATTTGTCAGAGTTATGTACTAACTACATCTGTATGGAAACCTCAGAGTTGCCACATACGTTTCACATTTCCTCTGCCTTCTCTCAAACGAATGAGCTCCTTTTTTCCGTTTTGTCGGAAAGTTAACAGTGCAGCTTAAGTTGTTGATGTCTTTTTTATTAACCTGATCCCGGTGCAATGAAAACCCCACGTACAGCCCGAAAGAGCAGAGACCCTAGTATCCACCCCTGTGGCACACCCTAACCCCATTTCCCCCCGCCATCAGAATGTATATACCGCTGCCTCCTGCCAGGCCGCACTATTAATCGCAGCTCTCTCTGCTCTTGTCCTCACTGTAGGTGGTCTTTTCATTGACAATCCCTTTTACCAGCCGCGGACCATCGCTCCTTTTTTTATTCACTTGGGTCCTCAAGATCTCTTCTCTGACTTCTAGAACCATCAGGTTGTGTGGCTCTAAACTGTCGTACCACTCCAGGCTTGACCAGGCTGTCTCCACCGCACAGAAACGGCCCAAACATCATACACTCTCCACCCAAACCCATCCATACCCAATCTAAGGATCCAAAAATGCACCAATCTTACAAAAGCAATACTCTATTTGACTTGCTCGTCCCGAAAACTGGCCAGGGACTTCGGTTCCTCCTTATATAGCAATACACTTGAACTCTTTTGGGCTTTAAGCTTACTTGAGATGTGAATGTTCAGTTGAGTCTTACTCAAACTTGGCATTGCAATATAGTCATTTTCATTGTATATTCACCACGTATGTGTGGCTATATTATAAATACATGCTCATATATATATGTATGGTCTATGGCACTATAAATATATATGTGTAGTTATACCGATGTACTTATGTATATTTATATACAGTGTGTATATATATGTATATATATATATATATATATAAAGTTTTTGTTTACATGATATATGTTTGTGTACGGTGTATATTTATCATGTATATATAAAGACATACAGCATATATTTTAAAAATATTTACATGAATGTGCATGTATATATTTATAGTCATATAAATTACATCATATATAAATATATTTAATATATAAACGTAAAATATTTTTCTTAAATATACATGCATGTGTGTGAATTTATATATACATAATGAATATACACAGTACACAAACATATATTATGTAAACAAAAACTTTTAT